TTGACGAAAAGGATCTGTAAAAAGAATTTGGGAGATATAAAGGAAAGAAGGATTTTTAAAATATAAGGCAGGTTCGGGGATCATCATCGTGAAATGTCATTTAGCACCTAGAATCTAAGAAATTTCCCTTACAGCTCATAAACGAACGCGAGACTTTCTCGAATCCCGACGGAAACGGAGGGAAACTCCGCGAGTGTGAAGCGCAATTTAGCGTGCGTTGGAAATTCGAAAAATACAAGGAGAGCGAGGTGTGTGTGTTTTCTGCCACCAGTCAAAGTCAATTTTATCGAGCGCATCGCGTACACGCAATGTTGAATTCGCGGGCGATGAGCCGCGACCTTCGTGGCGGCAAAATCGATACGATTCGATTTATCAAAGTCACGCCAACAGGAAATGCCTACGTCCGCGACGAGATTGTGTCGTGGGATAAAAAAACGCGGGAGCGAAATGCGACAGTTTCGTTGGACGAATCTCATGCGGGAATCTCTTCGCGAGCGACTTGTTAAGCCTCGCGAGAAACCTTCAACTATACCATAATCGAATTTAAAGAACTTTACATTCTATGTAAAGTTAATTTGAGCCGAATAAAATTAAATTTATATTTTGCAAATTAATTAATGGAAAAAAAACTTTAAGAACAATATCTTATATAATATAATTCATTAAACGATTTAACTTTAATTATTCAAATTTTCTTTTGTTCTTTCGTTTTGATGAAACGCTTATGAAACAAAATTGTAAAATTATGAAGAATTATGAATTAAAATTATGCAAAGAGCATGTTAAAAGTAAATTGTTTTAATTTATATATGTTTATATATATTATCAGCGAAATATTTTTTTCTAATATTGCATCTTTATCACTATAGTTGAAGGTTAACAATGAAAGAAAATGCGAGGGAAAAGGGAAAGCATAATTGTTGGCAATAATTTTTCGAGCTAAGAAGCACAAAGGTGTGTGTGTGAAAGACGAAAGGAAAATCTGGTCTGGTGCAATATAGTAGGAAACGCGTATATCACAGCTAAATATAACGAGAACGATTTTATTGTACTTTATTATATAAGACAGAATTTGTAGACAGTTTATATTAGGCCGATATTGTCACGGCAAGCTTTGCCCTGCAGAAATGAGGAGACCCAATTGTCGTTTCCACCAATCATTTCTCGCGTAACGACGTTGAAGTTTTTATCCTTTACAAAAAAATATCGTGGACTTTTACGTTAGTCGGAATTAGGATGAAACTCTAAGCATTTGCTTCTCCGTGCGGAAAAACTACTCGTATCTCGTCTTTCTCTTTCTGAATTTTTTTCTGGCGGCAACGGAAATTCCTTTTTGAAAATCAATCGAAACAAGACGACGTGCGATCTGTAATTTTTCGTAAAGTAAAATCAAGAAGCGTGAGTTGGAAAACAAAATCAAAATCAAATCCACAACGGCCAAACGTGCCGAGGATCCGAATGCCGAGTAACGTGGAGAAAATTTCACGCTCCTCGATTAACGCTTGCTATGCCACTCACACTCGAAGCACTTTTGGAAGACGACAAATTGATAACGATATTAGTATCAGAAACGTTTGTATCGTAGCGAATACGCGCTAACAATTAGAGACCGAGTAGCATCTTTCGGTTCATCTACTGCGAGCTTCTTAGAAATTTTCAAGAGGTGAGTGTTCTCTTCTCCTCTCGAATGTATACAATATATCTTCGACTGCATCTCGGATCTCATCGACTCGCGCTTGACAGATAAGACGAGAGATATATAAGAGAGAGAGAGAGAGAGAGAGAGAGAGAGAGAGAGAGAGAGAGAGAGAGAGAGAGAGAGAGAGAGAGAGAGAGAGAGAGAGTAG